ATATATATATATAATGAAATCTGGGGGCAGGCTTAGGATTAGCTGTTTCTTCTTTTGGTCAGTTCTGACCAGATGAAATGAACTTTTACTAAGATAACATCATCAGGACAATAACAATTTTTAAACTAAGAAATGTGAAGACATTGGCTAATCCAAGTGTCAAATTAGAGCCCAGAATTAACCCTACTGAAAATATTTGCTAAAATACTTAATGCAGCAATCTGACTCATTATTTTAGTAGGATTTTGGAAAAACTTTTATGCAACTTTTGAAATAAATAAATATTAGGACATTGCAACCTTAAATTATTCCACATTCTGTAGTTGAAGCTAAATTGGGTCCAGCAATTTAAATGTATAGTTTTATTTCTGGTATGGTGTGAAAATGCATAAATTTATTTTTTTTTTCGCAGTTGTTTTCTGTCTTTACTCTAAACAGTTTCATATGTGCATACTTTTTTAATTACGAGATTCATATGTGCATACTTTTTTAATTACCAGAAACAATAGAGTTGGTTTGCCAACTTGCTGTCATTTAAAAATCTTCTTGTAGACAAATATGAAGGCACCAGTCCAACAACAAAACGTTGTTCTTTTCTCTTATCATATAAATATTTTTATTTATTTAAAAAATGTCTGTAACTAGACATGTTTACATCCCATTTGTCTTTTTTAAAACATCCAGCTGGTAGTATATTTTTATAGGATGTAATTTATTAATTTTTTTTAGGATGTAAAATTGTCAGCTCATCCATTTCTCTGTTGGCTAGAGCTGTTTATTCTTAAAGGGTCAGATCTATTAAAATAAATTAAGCCAGTCAAAAGTAAGATATTTACACATTTTCTTTTCCTGGAAATGACACAGTAAAGATTGTTCAATGGGGAAAGAATCTAGGTCTTTGTCTCATTTCAAGTGAAGCCTCATTTCTTGTGTCCTCAAACCATTTTCCATCAGTGATTCATCAAATACTGAGAGAAAAAAATATATATTTTAAGATTTTTATATGCGTAAGACGAGTTCTTCGCATGTGAGCTCATCCACTATCCTAAAAACAGGCACTAGTCTGAGTAGAAAAAAAATAAAGCTTAATGACGCAAAAGGTTATATCTGTGGCTATTTTTGACTTTCCTGGTTATTTTTCCAGCCTTTCTTTCAACCTTTCACAATATTTGTGAATTCCAGACCACTTTTACTGTAAACCAACACAGCATGACAGATGACATGTTATGCCTAAAGAAACAGTTGTTCCGGAAATCATGTACTGTCTCCAATGTATTTTCACAAAGAGAGGAGATTTGAGTTGGGAGTTCAAGAGTTTAGCTGTTTCTTTAAACCACGAGTCCAACTGAAAGTAAACACAACATAGGAGATTGGACAGAAATGGATTTAGTAGAGATTAGTATGCAACTCTTAATCCTCACTATGGTAAAGGTTTGAAGTGTTTACTGTTGATATGATCCAAAACAAAACTAGTGACTTGTACTTGATAAAACTCTTCACTGTGTATTCTATATCAGTCTTCCTGGAAACTAAAGAATATTGATGATATTGAACTTTTTTCAGTGTTTGAACTTCATGTTATAAAGAGCTTTAAATCCAGAATATTCAAGTCACAGAGTTTTAATAGGAGTGGTTGCATTGCCTAATACTAGCATGGTGTTCTGCCTCTGTATCAGCAGCTAAAGTGTTTTAAAGTGTGAAGCCTCATTATTCATGATGGGGACACATCTTTGAAACTGTTTCCCCCAAAGACTTGACATGATGCTGAAAATGTTACCTATTTATGCAGCTCATGTGCCTGGAAAAACATACAAATTATCTTCAGAAATGTTACAGTGGACTGTCACAATTACAATTGGTTACATTATTTTTTTTATTCTGAGTTTTGTTCTTTTTTAACTTCAGGTGTTAGCCAGGAGGAAAGAAGGTTCTGGCAAAGTTAAGGTTCTTCTACACTGGACACCTGAAGACATGTGAGTATTTTTTTTTTTCTATGTTGTAAAAATAGAAGAATATATAGCTAACAGATTATGCTGACTGTACAATGTAAATCAATACAGCCATTGTTGTAGCCTTACCTGGGTCAGGTGTGTTGAATATAAATAAGGAATAAAGTTAATTGATTTGGCTGTTACAGCTTGTTGAAATGGTCAGAAACAGTTGTCCAGTTTGTCTTTTAAAAAGATTTGAATATATATTGTGTTCACACCATTAAATTGGAAAGGATAAATCAGTGTGAAAGAACAACTGTCCTTTTCGTATTTACCCATGAAAATATTTTTTTATGTACCCATCTTAAGACTGCACATATGACACAGTGCCGTCTGTTTGTCTGAGCTCTAAACTGATAACCCTTTTGTGTAGAAACATCCAACTGCACAGCTGGACATCTCATGAGTCAAGAATGATCCTCATTGATTTGAAGGTCATGAGGTCAAAGGTCAGGGTCACAGGTCCCCCATTTGTTAAAACCTTGTCTTTGCTCCAGTTTGACATGCCAGTGGCATAGAAATGTTGAACCCTTTGTTCCCTAGATTCTCTACCCATCCATCCATAAGAGAGTACACAGGAAGTTGGTGTAGCTCCACAAATGTTTAGGATAGAAAATGTCACCAGACAGTGGCTCCACATTGCATCTTATTTTTAATAAGACCACTTCCACTAAAGAAATCTTGTGCGGGAAAAGTGTTTGTGTGTATATATAGCATAATTTACACACTGAAGACCCTTTCCTAAGAAATTTTGTAGGTGGACTTTACTAAACAACACTAACATTTTAGACAATTTATGCCAACTTATGAATATTTTGTTACGATTATTTTACTCCTATCGGCTATATATTCAGTCTAACTGTTAGTATTACAGTATGTATAGATCCAAAAGAGGCTCCCAGTAGATTTTTTGTTTCATTTTCAGCTTAGACATCTTCAGTGTTGGGCAAACCAATCATAAGTTGGCTTAGGTTGTCTAAAATGTTATATGGCCTTAAAGTAAACTTGTCTCACTTGGTCAGTCCTAGTTTTGCTATGGGTAGGGTAGTACTTACAAGAAATCTGTCGTCAGTGCCATTTTTGTTTCCTTGAGTTAAGATGCACCTTTACACACACACACACACACACACACAAATCTTTATCAAGACAGCAAAACACAACCATTTCATTGCTTTAGTAACTATTTTTGGGAACCACTTAACACAAGTTTGCAACTTGGAATATCTTTTTCCCCTTCCAAGCATCAGAATATGTATTAGAAAACACGTGGAAAGGCTTAATCTGTGCTGACCAGCATGTTCTGTGTGAATCAAATAGAAGACCTAATCACATCAGAGAACAGTGTCATTGTGACTATTATCACATAACATTGTTGGGCAGGTTGCTCTCTGCCTTCTTTGTTCAATAACAACAATTAAAGACAAGTATTTAGACCTTCCTGAAACACATTTGTTTAAAGTTGTTGTTGTTTTTTTAATGAGTATAAGATGTGGCATCAGCGCATAATCGTGGTTTTCATAAGGCTCACATGGACACTGTCAGGTATAAAATATCCAAGCTTGGTGAAAATACTGCAAAGACAGTAACTTTGTGTCTCATTCTGGTTCACTTTCTATGTGGCCCTACGTTTGCAGGAGCAAACTAGTCTGCTGACTCAACTACAAACTTCAAACAATAGCAAGGCAAACGATACAGGAGAAAATTTCTTTTAATGAGCTGCAGTGCTTCTTCCAGCAGCACTTTTCAGGCAAGAATCAGCTAATAAGTCTGTAAAAGAGAATGAATTGTTTAAAAAAACTATATTAACTGAATATTTTTAGTTGGAAAGCAACAAAAATAAAACAAATGTGTAAATTGTTTACATCCACATTTATTCATCTGCAAGATTTTGTGATGAATTCGAGACACTTGTCCGGGGACATGAAAAACTACCTTCCAGTCCTCACCTAATCAAAACTGGCTTAGCTTCGTTGAGTTCTGCCAACTGGAGAACAGCTCCAGTTCAGTGTAGCAGTTGGGATGAAGAGACGGGTTTAGCTCTGTGATTGCGTAAAGAGTGAGCTTGACACAACACAGGGCTTCTCAGCTGGGTTCTTGCTCAACGAAAGTTACCACCAAACATGCAGCTTTCCCACACTTCCATTAAAGGCTTAGACAGTTGGGCCTCAGAAGATGATCGGAGGAAGATGGTATGAAAGGGAAGAGAAAAGATGCCAAAGATGTTGGGGAATTGACAACATGGAGACAGAAAGAGGTAAAGGACGGTGGAGGAGGAGCTGGAGAACAAAGCCAACTGAGGCTAAGAAAAACAAGATATGATGTCAAAAAGAACAGAAATTGGCACAGATCATAGGAAACTAGACAATACATCATGTTGCTAACCAATTCCACTGAGCATACCATATCAAAACCTTTTATTAAGGCTTTTATTGCCTCGTGCTGCGAATGGTTCTCCTTGATCTTTTTTTTTATCTCTTATTAACGTCTCCCATCCTCTCCACGCATGTGGGAATTTAATCTTTTGCAGTGAGAAATATTTGAGAGGAGGAAAGTGGAGGGGGGGCGGGGGGGGGATGAAGCTCGGTGATGAGGACAGACTTCTCAGAATAATTCCAAAGTGAGAGGCAAACGTGGAGATTGATGGTGAGACTTGAAGATGGATAGAGGAAGAGCGGAGAAGGCAGAGAATAGGAGAGAGAGCACAAGTGAAGAAAAGTGGAAAAATAGGAGGAGGGACTTGAAAAAGATAAGAGCGGAAGGCTGAGTGAAATGAAGGCTCAGGAGAGAATTAAATGCCCTAATGAGTCATTTATTCCATATAGTAGATGGATGCTGTGGTCATTAATACTTATCTGATCGGTTTATACCAGGGTGAAAATGGAAAACGGAGGCTGCACAGAAGTTACGTTTACTCTGATTATTTATTTCTGCTGCTGTGCAATTATGGTTTTTGTTATTCTAAAGATTAAAAAAAACTCTAGATTCACTAAAATGTCCTCTTCTAGTTTTTTATTAAGCCTTGAGGTAACATTTATAGTCCTCCTTTGATCTAAGGTTATATCCCGTCTGACAGATAATATGGTGGTCACTTGGTTAGCCATCAGTGTTGTAACTCTATCCTCTGAAGTCAACATCAAGAACTATAATATAAGAGCATGACTGTGTGTGCTTCGCAGTCACCGGGTTAAATATTAACTTTATGAATGTGGGAAGTCATGTCTATTAACTCCGAAACGAACCATTCACATTCTGACTGCCACTCATTAACTCAGCTTGGATTAATGAGTAACTGATTAACGTGAGCCAATCTGAGCACGATTCAGCCGCGGTTCACTGAGGAAGGAGAAAACCAGTGGGGAAGGCTAGAAGAGAACGAGAGTGAGCTATAATTGCTGTCTAATCTTTGATGGATGAGTGAACAGATTCCCCTGCATGCTGCTGATTGCTTCAGGATGCCAAACACTAGAATATACTGCCACTAAAGAGTAAATGCTGCAAATCCAACTGATTTGTCCTTTATAAATTTTTGTGTTTTTGTGTCTCATTGTTGTGATTTTGCTGTTGCTTGCTTAGTTCTTTCAATTGCTTGGTTTAGATTTAAAGATCTGCCCAATTAGCTAAAGTGATTTTTTTAAACTGCATAAAAACCAATGTAGAAGTTGTGCCCACATTGGAAAAACTACCAAGAGAAAACCTTTGACCATATTAGGTCACAGATCACCTTCTGAAGGATACTTAAAAAAACAACTTTTTAAATGTGCTACATTTTTGTACGTTTCCCCCTGTGCATTTTTGAAGTGATTTAGCATCTTTAGGATAAGTAATCACTAAAAAAAGAATTTCTCCTTTTTGTTTGTACCTTTGATTAGGGATGTCCGATAATATCGGCCTACAGATATGTTTGTTCCGATATCAGCGTAAAAATATAAAATCTCTACATATCAGTATCTGTTTTTCTTCTGTTAAAAGCCTGATAAAATAACACCTGGATTTGACCAAAAATGTGTTAATAAATGCTTGTGGTCCAGAGACCTTCACCGGTGCGCAATTGATGATAAACTGGATTATCTTAGGGAGAGCATGATCCAAGCTATTGTTTGAGACAAAATGTTCAAAATAAATATGACACTTTTTCCATAACTTCAGTGAAATGTAAGTAAGTAAGTGAACTTTATTTATATAGCACCTTTCACAGGTCAGAAACCACAAAGTGCTTTACAAGAAGACATAAAAACACAAGAGAGAAAACAAGATATACATGCGATAAAAATATTACATATGTTGGGGGAAAAAAATCAAATTAAAAAATTAATTAAAAGCCAGTCTGAACAAATGTGTCTTCAGCTGCTTTTTGAAAATTTCAAGAGAATCAAGGCAGCGCACATGGTTTTTATTTTTTACAGACATTGGAATGCATCTAGTGGGGTATCACAGTAAAAGCAGGCATAATGTCCCTGACAGGAGTTATGTGATGTCACCTTAATATCGGTTTATAATATCTAATATCTATGTATCTACATATTCTGTTTTTCATATATCTGCCCCTTGTCCATGATGTAGTGTCGGAACGGTCGATGTAGGTACGGGTCAGTACGGGTCGGACCGGTTGGTTTTTCACTGATGTTCCAGTCCGGTTCCAATGGGTGTGTTTTGGGCAGTTGGTGGAGGTGGTTTTTAGGTTTTTTGAAAAAAAAAGTTAATGGGCAAAATGATAGATGGAAAAACATTTGATGAATAACTTTAGAAATTTTAAAAATTTGCAAAAATTTAGCCAATCAGTGACGAACTGACGTCGCATTTTGGTGTCAGCTGGGGCCGGTTGGAACCACAGTGAAGTGGGTACTAAAAAAAGTGCCGGTTCCATGGATCTGGCCTACTGGAAATGGCTTGGAACCGTAGCAAACCGTACCGACATTACACTAAGTGGCACTAGTGGAAAAGGGGCTTAAATGTAATAACTCATCTCTACCACAGTACATTTGTTGAGTTGTGTTTACCCCGACTGTGGACTGCAGTGAGCATGTGTTAGAACGCACAATCACAAAGATGTTTACTGCGAAGTTAACACTCTGCAGGTCCTCCTGTCATTTTAGGTTTTCTCTGGACCAGGACTCTAATTCAAAACTAATCTAAACTTTAAAACTGTTTTGAAAGGAGCTGTTTCTTGTCTTGTCTGTGACTCTTCACTTCCTCTATTCCCGTCTCTGATTAAGCAAGATGGAGACAGCACTGAGGCAAAAAATTATAATAATAATACATTGTATTATATGTTCTTTTACCAGAACTAGACCTAAATTACCCATTACACAAGCTTGATGCTCATTTATTAAATTTACTAAACAGGCATTGTCAGTTGCTCATCCCTGATCTACAACATTCCCATGTTCTCAAAACTTGTTTTAAAATTTATCCATCCATCAATCATGCTTATCAATGGTCCCTCCAGTCGGTTTGGGGTCTGTCCTAGAGTGTCCTCATAATAGGATATGCCTTGAAAACCTGAGAGGAGCCATTCTAATCAGATGCCATAACCACCTCAGCTGACTCTTTTCTGCACGGAGAAGCAGTGGCTCTTCAAGCTCCCCCTGAATGACGAAGCACCTCACCCCATTTTTCCCACATACTTAAACTCCTTCGCTTGAGGCCGAGATTCATCCCCTACTCAAAGGGTTTATTCTACCTATTTCCATTTGAGAACTGTGTCCTCAGACTTGGAGGAACTGATTTTCATCCCAGCTGCTTCATATTCGACTGGGAACTGCCCCAGTTCACAATGAAGGTCATGGCCTGAAGAAGCAAACAGAACCACATCATCTGCAAAAAAGCAGACCAACCCCAGAGGTTCCCAAACAGGCATCCTTTCCACAGCTGTGCCTTAAGATCCTGTCCATGAACCACCACAAACAGGATCAGAGACACAAAACTAAAGACCAGCATCTTTTTAAACATCTCTTATTTTCTACATGTAGTTTTATAATTTGTTGTTTCATCAGAAAGATCTTCAGACGCTATTTTATCAGTCAGTTTAGGTGTAAACAGTAGAGATTTTTAAAATACAAACAGTATGTCTTAGAGGTACAAATAAAAACAAGATTATTTCTTTTCATGATTTAATAATTTGATGTTTTACTGGCATAATCTAAAAATACTGTATTGTAAATTTGTATGTCATAAACATCATCCAGCTTAATATTTTTTCCAGCAGTTATAAACATTCCCTAAGTATTTTCAGCTCTTTTAGAAACTGATTTAATCAACAACACAAGACATTGGCTTTATTCCATTCTCCTTTCATATTGCTTTTTTCCATCTATTTGTCTTTTTGTGCCTTCATTTGTCAGGTTTTTTTAATCACTTCTTTGTGCTGAATGTGAAGTTCTACCTGCGCACCATCCCTCTGAATGGGCTGACTAGGCGTGTCAGTGATTTTGGCTGGGCTGCTGCCTGTTTGACTTACTGCTGCCGTGCTCTGTGTGTGTGTGTGTGTGTGTGTG